CTCACACTTGCCACGCCGCTACGTGCGAACCGGCCCTGCCCTCCAGCGGCAGGACCGCTTCCGACCCCCTGACCGGAGGCGGAAGGCCACGCCGCGCTCTCAGAGACCGTCACGCCCTCTGCGAAGCCCCGCCCACCACCGACATGCCCCTCTGGGCAGGACCCTTCCCCTCCCAGCGAAGCCACGCCCCTCTCAGAGACGTCACGCCCCTCTGGGCGGCGCCCCGCCCATCCCCAACACGCCCACCTCCCACGCCACTCCCTGCGGTGCCCCTCCCCGAGACGTCACGCCCCTCCCGGCGGCGCCACGCCCCCTGCGAGACGCCCCGCCCCTCCCCGCGACGTGGCCGGTTGGGGGTCACCCGCTTGGTGCCCCGCAGAGACGGAAATAGGGGTATTCGGGTAGCAGGAGCCTCGTTTCCCACGCCCGGATCCGAGCGCAGCGCGGGCGGGACAAAGGAACGCCCTGCCCATCTCCGCGAAGCCACGCCCCTCTCCGCGACGTCATGCCCCTTTGAGTAGCGCCCCGCCCATCTCCGCCCCGCCACGCCCCTTACGAGACGCCCCGCCCCTCCCCGCGACGTCGCCGGTTGGGAGTCACCCGCTAGGTACCCCCAGAGACGGAAATAGGGTATTCCAACTCGCACAAGCCTCGTTTCCCACGCCCGAAATCAGAGCAGTGCGCGCGCGGGACGAGATGGCCACGCCCCTCTCCGCGAAGCCCCGCCCATGTGCGGGAAGCGACGGCCGGTCTTTGTCTGCCAAGCCACGCCCGCCACGCCCACGTCCGCCACGCCCCTCTCAGGGACGCCCCGCCCATCCCCGCGAAGCCCCGCCCCTATGCGCGATGCGACGGCCAGTCTTTCTCTGCCACGCCCCTCTCAGGGACGCCCCGCCCATCCCCGCGGAGCTCCGCCCCGGTGCGCGACAGCCGTCTTTCTCTGCCACGCCACGTCCATTTTCGCCACGCCCCTCTCCGCGACGCCACGCCCCTCCCAGCCGGTCCCAACGAAGCCACACCCCTCTCCACGACGCCACGCCCTCCCGCGAAGCAGGGACCCTCTCCGCGACGCCACGCCCCTTCCAGCCGGTCCCAACGAAGCCACGCCCCTCTCCGCGACGCCACGCCCCTCCCCGCGACGTCGCCGGTTGCGATTCACCCCTTGGCACCCCCCAGAGACGGAGATAGGGTATTCTAAGTCGCACAAGCCTCGTTCCCCACGCCCGGGGTCGGGGCACAGCGCGGGCGGGACTAGATGGGCACGCCCCGCCCACCCCAGCGACGCCACGCCCCCTCCTGGCGATGCCACGCCCCCTCCGCGACACCGCGCCCCTCCCCGCTACGTCGCCGGTTAGGATTCGCGCCGCTGCACCTTCCTAGATACGGAAATAAGATATTCGAAGTCACACAAGCCTCGTTTTCCACGCCCGGGTCCAGCCCACAGCGCGAGCGGGACGAGACCCGCACGCCCCGCCCCTCCCCGTGACGTCACGCCCTCCCTTCAACGTCCCGCGGGCCCCAGCGGGCCTCACGCTCGCGCCCTACGACCCCGGCGCCGCCAGCGCACGCGCACTTCGCGGCTGCCCTCTGCGCCGCTCGCCGACGCCTTCCGGGTTCTGCGACTGGGCGTCCGTACGCCGTTTTGCGTGCGCACGCGCATTTCGA